ATGTGAAAAGGAGAAATTGTGTCATAAGAAACTAATTCAAGGAATACAATTATGTGTCTTGTTATCTACAAAATATTCAACTTTCGCAATTTTCTTGTATGCAATTACTCCAGCATTATACACGCATTATACACACATACGGGTTACTTATATATAAATATGTATATATGTATAGACTGCTTGTCAAAATTAAAGAATGTACCGAAAACCTATGTTTACTAGTTAAATTTTCCACTGAATGTCCCGTGGTGTAAAACGTTATCTCAATTTTGTGCAACTAAATGCAAAGTTGGACTTCTGCTCTTGGGTTAGTATATGAAGTATACCAGTTAGGCGAATCCATTATTAAACTTAGATGCTTATATTAGTTGAACCTTTCATCCATACCTGGCTTTAAATACAAAAATAAACCTGCCTATTAGTATTTCATATTTTATACGCGATGTTCAGCTCTTAGTCTCAAGTAATAGAGTTAGTGAATAGCCAATAAAGTCTAATGTTATCTTTAGAAGCAGCCATCGCAGCGTGCAGAGATGTGAAGACGATTCCCAAACGCGGAAAGGGAACGGACGTGTTCTCTCAAGACAAGCAGACGCCTTGTACTCCATGAGCTTCAGGGATTGTTGGTCGTCCAGAAAAATTAACAATAGTATTCAGCAACCGTTTGTAAATATCTGAATTTTCTACCAGAGATGATGGAGTGCGAGGATTGCATAAAACTATCCTGTGAACTGCGTACGGACTGCGTGATCCTTGCGGGGTTATAATTTAATTATGACAATTTCATCTGTTACCAGCTATAATGTTAATTTCACTTTTTATTCCATCTTAGTAAATTCATAAATAAATTAGATTAGCTTCTGCTTTTCTTGTGCTCTATGTGTGGATAACTCTATATTTATGAATAAATTCATTTCTGTTCTTGAAATTCCGGTTTCGAAGCGAATAGATGACAATCTAAATCGATTACCATGATGAACAATAATTGCAGATAGTGTCGAAGTTAAAAATTCTGAAAGTTTTTCCCCAGGCTATGAAGTACGAGGTGGATTAATTTATTACGATTTACCAATTTCGGATTTCGAGACATAAACGGACAACTGATAAGCGTTAAATAAAAGACATCCCAAATATGTTTTATGAGATATTCAGATTCTCCATGGTTTAGTTTTGGCCACGGGCAAACATAAATGTTTCCGAAATATTCATGGACTGCATAATATATCAAATTACGTTGGAAACATTGTTTGTCCTGCTGGACATTAAACTCCTCAAAAGGAGGAAACTAAATTTCTAATTTAAGATGTTGAATGAGGAAGAATTTCTCAGTCACAGCCTATATAAAATTCAAAATTGACATATTGTGAAGTTGGAAATAGTAGATGCTAGGAGTTTATATTTTTATTTTGCTCTCTACAGAAGGAAAATAATTTTCTTTAAGGATTAGCAATGAAGTCTACTACTCAGATAAAGCGAAAAGGTAAATTTTTCGCAAAAAGAAAAATTGATTGCAAAGTAAAACACACAACATAACCAAAAATTATACCATTGCATTATTTCAACATAATATGCAATGTTATTTTAAGAGGATACACAGGACTTGAATTGTGGTCTGCCTCTTACAGACAATGTACGTGTGTGTGTGTGTGATTATGGCAAAGCCTCGAGGGCTATCTGCCTAAGGGGAGGAATGCCTTCGTTTGAGGACTTTCTAAGGCAAACTGGCTTGTATACACGTTACACATGGGGAAAACCACGAAAACGCCCATGCAGCCAGCCTGTTCGCGGAATTCGAACCTCGGACCAAACTACCAGTGTTCAGCGACTTTACCACAAATTTATAAATAACGAAATTTAAACATAAAAAAACATTACTATTTTCTTATTATGAAACATATTTAATTTGTTTTCATACATTTCGTATCTCTGCACATTAATTCCATGTAAGCACGACGGAAAGTGTACAGTGACCAGTAATGGATATAATTGCTATGGCAAATCCCCACATATTCAGAGAAGCAGTATGAAGACGGTAAATACATTTAAATATAACTGAATGAGGAGACATTTAGGAGAATGAATGAGGAGACTGAATGAGATATAGGAGACATTATTAAAACATACACGTGTGATTAGATATTTTTTGTTTCGTTTTAGATTTTCGCAAACCAAATCCCTGTAAAAATGGAGGACACGGCGATGTAATTAAAGGCAGTGTCATTAGCAGATGCAAAATCCCATTCATTCCTACTGGATATAAGTGTTCCTGTAAACCTCCATATACTGGGAAAAATTGCGAAAATGGTAATTTTCACAATTAAACTTTAAATAGAGATTTAGAAACATTAGCTGATTTCGATGTTGGAGATGTGGAAAATGAGCAATGTTCTCTCCCGGACTCGAATCTCGGACCTTTCGAATACGCGGCATTACACCACAAAAGCTTGCTAAGAAGGCGGAAGAAATAGCTTATATACTCTCCCTTTTAAAGGGCGGCTGGGGATTAGGGAACCCAATCGCCAAATCCTGGTGGTGGAGAATCATCATCCACCACCTTCTTTAGGTTGGGCGTCACTGTAGAGACATTAAGTTTGTAAGATTCTCACTAGTGTATTTCTTAGTTACTGTAGAAAGTGACGAATCTTCAGAACTAGTTAGCGAATAATCGCTTAAGTTCGTGTAACAAGAAACGAAAAGATGGAAGGGTAACTAATCCTTTATTATTCCAATAAGATTTATCAAAACTCCGTTTTGGAGTGTACAATAAAAGCCGACTCTTGGGCTTCAACTTAAGAGACTGAAATTTAAACTAAAACTAAGATTAACTAAAGAGATATAGCCGAAGCTATCAAAATTCTAATCGAGTTGGGCCCTTAACTCTATTCGACTACGAAGCTTATCAAGGGCCTGAGTACGTCCGATCGTAATAACAGCTTTGAGAGAGAGAGTAGCCAAAAGAAGGCAGACGTGCGCAAATCAGAAACTCTGATTCTCTCTAACTCAGCAAGTAGACTTCGTGGTTTAAATACCGCTCCTCCTCATTGAGTATTCAGAGTGATTCCAAAACTATTTCGATGATGGAGATGTGAAAAATGAACATTGCTCACGCCGAGACTCAAATCTCTGACCTCTCAAATACGCGTCGAGTGTGCCGGCCATTATACCGAGAAGGCATGCTAAGAAGGCAGGAGAAAAACCATGACAAGCTCAAGACATGAACATGTCTCAAAATCAGTAACTTGGAACCACGTTTAAAGCAATCTTTCAGAAACAGGTAGCATGGCCGAGATGGGCAAAGATTAAAATCTGGATGCAAAGACGATATTCTGCCCCCCTCGGCTCATATACGCTAGGTATAGTTTTGGAACTACAGTCTGTTACTGGTACTCAAACCCGTCTCTCTACTGCTGTTCGAAAGCTCGATTTTGAGCTCCATGTGAGAAAGTCAATGGTTCTGTGTTATACTAGGGTGTTTTTAATTAAGAGTTGCTTAAGATGGCTTCATCATTATATTTAGTGGAGCAAACAGTGATGAGACAATATAACGTTTATAGAAGTTTCCAGATGTAGCCTGAACTTAGTTTTCCGTTGCAGTGTATTTCACATGTACTGCCCAGGACTTAAGTAAAGAACGTAAAATATTTATCTTATACGCAAAACTTCCAGTCATTAAAAAAACAGTGAGGGGGAAAATCGATGCCCTTGTTGAAGTAATAATCTGCTCCAAATTTATATGTCAAGTATATGCACAATAAATTGAATATGAATGATAAAAAAACCTTCATATTTTTGTATTTTCCAGTGTTTTTATCCTATCCAGATACCTGCACTTCAAATCCATTTAAAACATGGCGAAAGTGTAGAGTGACATGTTCAGGATATAAATGTTCTTGTAAATCCCCATACTCAGGAAATAATGTGAAGAGAATAAACTCTTTTAAATAAATGATATGATATTCTATTTAGAAAACATTAGTAAAGCATGGATACTTATTTGCATATTTTTACTTTCGTTTAAGATCTATGCAAAACATATCCATGTAAAAATTGAGGAACATGCAATGCAGCTAACGGCATGGGTTTCTGCAAATACAAAAACCCTGTACATGAAAAATTTGCGTGACATATATCTATCGATTTAACAATAAATTATTCAAATATAATTATATTTATTTATCAAGCTTCATGCGTACTTCCGAGGTAGGGATTTCGAATGCCGGCTAGAGCATTGCAAATATCGCTCGTTCCAGTATGATATAATCTGATGACTTTACAAATTGAATTAATAAAAATATGTGAATATTTATGATATTCGTAAATGTACTAACTTAATAGGTTGTGTAACTGAAATTGCCATCGATTCGAGTGTCTTTGTAAGACAAAATTTTCTACTCATACATGGCATAAACGGACAAAGCTTACTTCGGTTCTCTGTTGGCGATAATTCACTCACTGCTAGAATTGCTCACAGAGAAAGGATTGCAAAATTAAAAGAAATTTTGTGATGTGAGTTCAGTGTTGATTCAAGCAAGTGATTCCTATTATCTAACGAAAGTTGAAGGAGGCAGCTTTTTCTCTTCGATGATCAGTATAGCATTTAAGTTTCATACAGTGTTAAAGACGTTTAATAATAATTAAAACCCATCGTAAATTTTTAAACGTTGGATCAATGTTTAACAGCAAGAACATCTCAATAAATATTAGAGAAAAATCTTCTCAATAATGGAAAGTAAAATATTTATCTACTTCCTCAAAACCACCATATGAATTTAAAATAAACATTTAGACGACAGCTTAATTGTTTGTTGAAAATATAATTTATTTCAAATTAATTTGTATTGAAATTTAAACTCATCATCTACAAAAGAGATTTTCATATTTTATTATTCCCAAATATTTCCATTTTTTCCATTGAAATTTAAACTCATCATCTACAAAAGAGATTTTCATATTTTATTATTCCCAAATATTTCCATTTTTTCCATCATTTTCAGATCCCTGCACACCAAATCCATGTAAGCACGACGGAAAGTGCGCAGTGATGAAAACTGGATATGAGTGTTCTTGCAAGTGTCGATATTCAGGAAAACAATGTGAAGAAGGTAATATAATTTCCATATAATTTCATGATACTTCAATTAGAAGAAAATAATTACTAAAATCCAGATGATTATTTGCATCTCTTTTTCTTCAGTTTATCTCTGCGAACCAAATCCATGTAAAAATGTAGAAACATGCCATGTAGCTAACGGCATGGTTGTTTGTAAGTGTAAAGAACCATATTCAGGACATCTTTGCGAAAAAGGCATCTATATAACAACAAACTATTGGACTGATAATTACTCACAATACAAATACAAAGAGAATATTATGTTATTTTACGGTTATGACATTTCCTTCTTAAGTCCTTTACAGATCCCTGCAAACCTAACCCTTGCAAGAAGAACGGAAAATATATCCTCATCCCTACAAGATATAACCATTCCTGTAAGCCTCCATACTCAGCAAATCACTGCAAAAATGGTGATTTTCGAAGTTAAACGTATACCCAAGCTTACTATTAGCATACGTAATTTGCTTAAATTTGAGAGTATTATGCAAATACTGCTTTTGATGGAGAAATAGGTCGTTATCTAAATTCTGTATGATTTTTTGCACAATATTTGTCTCATTCAATTTCGGATAAACTCTTTTATTTCGTTTTAGACCGCTGTAAGTCAAATCAGTGTTATAATGGAGGAACATGCGATGTAGCTAACGGCAGGATTGCTTGCAGATGTAAAGAACCATATTCAGGAAATCGTTGCGAAAAAGGTATGTATTTAACAACAAATGAGCGGAATGATAATTACTTACAAAGCAGAGTATACGAACATAAGGCGAATATTATTTTACTTTATGGTGATGTCATTTCCTCTGGCGTTCTTATCCCTGAAACCTAAGCCTTGTAAGATGGAGGCAAAATGTACCCTCATCTCTGCGCGTTATGAATGCTCCTGTAAGCCTCCATACACAGGGAAGCAGTGCGGAAATAGTAATTTCGGAAGTTAAATACGTACTAAAGCTTCTAGTAACATATAAAATTTACTTAAAATTGAAAGTGTTATGCAAATGCTGCTTTCAATACAGAAATACGTCCTTATCTGTATTTTGTACGTTGTTTTGCACAAGGTATGTCTAATTCAATTTCGGTAAACTTTCCTTTACTGCCCAAACTATACAATATGGATTTATTGCGTATTTGTTTTGTTATTCGTTAATATTTTGGTGCATAACTTCCGTCATTAAGACTTCATAAGCAGATATACAGAAGCAATTAAATTTGTTATTTCTTTTTTAGTTTATAGCAGTAGCACTTGATATACATCCATTGCCAGAGTGAAAACCCTCAGCGCAAACACACAAGGAGAAACAAGTAACCAAAACGTACAAAAGAAGAGAAGAAAACATGAAACAGTGAATTATGCACAAACAAACATTTCGGTAACGAAAGTCAGTTAACATGTAAGGCTTGTAGTTGTTCTCTAGCTTTCCAATATCTATCATAAATATGTCCTGTGACAGATGGGTATATTCCGAGATGTCCAGCTTCCATCCCATGGTCAATGCTGAATATTATATAGTTTGAGGTGGACAGTGTTTCGAATCTGTGCAGGTAAGCAGCAAGGCAGTCATAGCCTGTTTCTAGCCTGTAGGTAGCAACAGAATGCTGTCTGGAAAATCAGGAATCCCTTCAAGAATCTCTTTCCAGAATTTATCTCTAATAAGTTCAGATAATTTTCTCTGGTAGTTCTTATCCAAACGAACTTTTGATTATTCTCTTTACAGAAGAATATGAGATCTAATTTTGCGTGGATCGCAGAATACTTGTGACTTTCTTTGCAAGAACAACAGCCATCTTATTTCAGTATATATCAACAATGTGAAGATATCCATAGCAGTACAATATTCTTTTTCGAGGTTAGCAGTAACCCGAAATTTTGGCTAAATCAATATCCGTACTTCAATTGTCAAGCATATTAGAAAAGGCTCGCTAGTTTGCATTTCTTATCCTTCCTAGGAACACAAGCAATTTTACTGTTTTTCCTACTTATATTGCAGAGAATGATGCAATGCCCGAAACCTGGATTTGCTGTAATCCAGAGATGAAGCTGCTTGGACTGCTGAAACAAAATCAAAGAGTATAATGGCATTCTCAAAATCTTCTACTGTTGTCAATAGTTGTCGAATGGCCAGTCTGAAAGCTTCAACATTACCGTTAAAAACGGTGCGGTATTTGGCTCTAAATTTATATAGAACGAAAACATATATGAAAATATCCGAACGCCTGCATTTTCCCACTGGTCCAACCGAGATATGTCAGCATACACACGCAGCCATTCAGGCCCCAGATACCCGATACTTATAGTTTTCAAAGAAACAGCCTTTAAAACTGAATCAGGAATATCTTTCTCCCGCACCACTTGAGAGTAAAATCGATTCTACACTTCACAAGGGGAATTAAAGGATTAATTGGAGGAGGTAAATTTCCGGGCTGTCCGGTATGGGAATTTCATTTTTAATTTTCAGGACTTTTTGTATAAAACCTTCTTACACTTTTAGTCGTCTATATTGATTGTAACTATAATTTCTCCATAAACAATTTGATGGGAATCGTATTAACACAAAGCTTTCTCTTGTATGATTTCGTCAATAGACTTATTCTTGGGAAGTTACAGTACAGCATTTATTGGGAATGTCTTAACCGCTCCTAGAATTAATCTTAGAACATGGTTTTGGGTAGTCTCCAAATCTGTCATTACATTATTACTGCAAGATTTAAATGTTTCAGAACAAAAAGTCAAAACAGGTTTCCTAAGCATATTATACGTCAGGTTAAAGGTATCTCTACCCAAAACCCACTAAACTCCAGCTAGTCTTTTCAAAACTAAAGATGTTTTTTTACACTTCTTGTGATCTCCTCTATGTGCTCTCGCCAAGTTAACTTTTTATCAAAAGTAACGCCTAGATATTTCGTAATGTGAGACTTACAAATAATTGTTTAATTTTTAAATTAAATTAATTTATTCTTAAATTAATTATTTAAATAAATAAATTCTAAATTAAATTATAATAATAAATAATATTTATATTTAAATTAATTATAATTTCTTGTCGATTTAGTGTAAATGTTTGATAGCATATTTTTCAATATTAACTTTCATTTCATCATTATCTCACCATTTAGAAAGTTTCCTCAATAGATCATTTAATCTGATGACTAAAAACTGCTTTTGCTTATGAATACTTGCAAAGCAGATAATAAATTCATCAGCATATAAGACACAGCCTATATTTTCAGCATTATCAAAAATTTTAGGTAAGTCATTAATAAAGCTATTAAATAAGTTGTAATCCTAAACAAGATTGTCTGAATTTTGAGGAAGATTCCCCATGTTTAAAAGCAAAAAAGCATTGTTGTGTTAAATTTCTTAGCCATCGAAACCTCTTCTCCTTTACGCTCAAGACCTCTAGCTTCTCATACAATTCAATTCTCCGTACTCTATTGTATGCTGATTTAAAATGCAAAATGTTCACTACTAGAGCCTCATGCCTGTCCAGGGTATCTTTTACTGCTTAAACTAAAAGCAATACTTGTTGATTGGTAGCGTGTAGTTTCTAAACCCAGTTTAAAGATAAAAAAGGGCAGCTATTCTGTAGTCCACCATTCTTTCCATAACCTTACACACATTATGCTAAGTTCAAGATATAGGTCTATAACTTGACATTTTTGACAATGGTTTGTCTTTCTTTGCAAGTAGTAAGATACATGCCTTTTTCGAAGCTGTGGGCACTTTCTAAGATCATACTCATTAATCAAAGGAACTGAAGGGTCTTAAATTCTTTAAATATTTATATGGATTCCATCTAGCTCGGACTCTATTTGTTCTTTTTGTCAATAAACTACTCAATTTCTCTAAACTAATAACTGTTTGAAAGATATGTTCTAGCAAGTGTGCTAGTATTATTTTTAAATGAGTTTTTAAACCATTTTCTTCATTTTTCACATTTTTTATTTTCTTTGTTATTGGGTTAAAATAACCTAACAAAGGCACCAGCAATATCCTTATTCCTCCTTAAATTGTCTAATGTTTCGGATAATAGTTTGCACTGGTGGCTTTTTATATTTATTATTTAAAACTATTATAAACCCATATAATGTTTTGCTCTTCTGTTTTTAATTTAAATTTGAGACAAAATTTGAAAATGACTGTTGTTCTTAGATCTCATTACTTCCAATTTAAAATCTCTAGCTAAGATTCTCCAGGTTGATATACATCTTCTACATTACCTACCATTTCAGCTGTTATTTTTGCCGCATCCCGTCTTTACTTCAGTAATTTCAACTATTCGTTCCAAAAAGGTTTGTACGTTTAGCTATTCTGTTTTGAAACGTTTGTCTAAACGTCTTCGAAGCCATTTTACAATATTCATTATTTGCTGCCTCAGTAGAGGAGTTGTGTAAATCAATATCCTTACTTCTGTTTTCAAGCATGTTCGAAAGGACTCCCCAGTTTGCTCTTCTCAAGTTTTAGGATATCTTAGCCTTCCTAGGATCACAAGCATTTTTACTGTTTTTAATTTTTGTAGTGCACAGAAACCTGCGATGTCCGAAATATAGATCCTCTAACACTTGTTTCTCCGTATCTTGTACCAAATCATATCAGACAAAACCCAAATCTGTATTTGTAAAAGAACCATTAAAGTGAAGATACAAGGTTATGTCTGCACTCTCAAAAATCAACTGGAGCTGATTTGTGGTAATAAAATATTTCAATTCTCATCCTACAACCTTATAATCATGGTACTCCTATTCAAATGAGTGTGTATTAAAATCTCCCATCAAAATACTCTTTTTACCAATTTTTAATCTATAAAAATTACATTTATTTCTTGAAGGGCACCTGAAAATGTTATGCATAGAAAGCAGCTGAAAGTATGCTTCTTCTTTCAAGATGCCACATATTACTTCTTGGGCGGGCTCTGGATATATCTTTGCTTTTTAATGAAGACGTGAACATAATGTGGATCTTGCATAAAACAGATATTTAACAACACAAAGAACTTTATTAACACACAAACAAAACAAGTAGGTAACACAAAATTAGAAACCACATTTATCTTTATTACGCTAGCGTACAGCGGGTCACTTTCATTACTTCGTTACTATCCTCCTCTTTTCTTCTAATGTAAGTCACGTGAGAGAGTGGCGTTACAGGCCGTTCGGCTAAACTATGCATGCGTAGTCATTACGTCATCACACCAGACATCTATTTTTGCTATTTCAGACGTTTCCTCGCTCTCCTCTTGGATCTCAACAATTGAAAAGTTTTAAGTTGTGTATTTCCCTTGTCCAGATGAAACAGATCCTAATACATAATGACGGTTATTTTACTGCCGACATAATATTTAGCATGATTCATGATTACAAAATATTTCTTATAAGTATTCACATCCTTCAGTATCATTTTGTCCTAAATTAAAAGGTACGTATATAAATAGATTGTATACATCAAAATTAAAAAATAATCTGAAAAATATGACCACTGATTAACCTTTTACATGCCAATGTTCCATAAATGGAACATCGAATTTAAAATTTCATAAAAAACACGTTTTTATTAATATTGCTTTGTATAAATTATTACATGAAGAGTAAATATGGATTGATGTTTTAGTAGCAGTATAATTCTTCTAAAAGAAAAATTATCTTGATTAAAAAAAATTCATTATTTCACCTTTATTCCTTCTTTTCTAAGAGCAAAATTAAGAAA